GTGGTGGGTGGGGGGGGGGGCGGGGGTCTTAGATGTCCTTTTTCTCTTCTCTTTTCTAGGTAAAGCTTTTAAAACTCCAACAAAATCCCTTTTTTACACTTCCCAAGCTTCCTGTGTTTTGTGACTATCTCCATGTTTTTCTATTTCTAAATAAATCCTGCTTGTTTTACACAGCTGTTGTAGGGACTCTGTTCCCTCCATGAAGTATTTGAAGGACTAGCCTTAGGAGATCCTAACTTCCGTAGCTTTCCCTGCTCCCATCAGGCTATACTTCTTTTAACCAGAGATAAAAATACAAGATAGATATCTTCCTCAAAGAATACCATCTCTCCCCCACTGAGATCATGTACTACTACTTTTGCATGGCTTCTTTTTCCATCCCAATCCCTTCTTGCTTTCCATTAGTTAAAAATGAGTTGGCTTTAATTCTGTTTTTCAGAAGCCATTCTGGACACTTAGTTCATTCCTAGCCAACTCTCCTATATGAATTTATCTTCCCCTCTTGTTCTGAGACTGAGGAAATTTTACCAAGCAGTATGTGATCATAATGAGAGAGGTTTTTGAACGGGTTTTTTAGAGGCTACAAATGTCTGCTAATGGTCAACTAGTCCTTAAAAAATAAACCTGTTCATAAAGTTACCTACCAAAGGAACAGCTTGTTTAGAAAGAGTTATAAAAAGAACATCAGAGACAAAAGGGGACAGCAGAAGGAAAGGGAAATTATCTGGAGAAAGTAGAATAGTTCAAAAGCAAAATAACTCAGTGTGTGTTTTTTGTTTTGGTTTGCTTTTTTCATTTGCTATTCAAAAATTTAATTCAAATGTGAACTGTCCTAAATTGCAACATGAACAAAACCTAAAACTAGCTTGGTGTTGACCGGGTTTTTTATGCTATAGCTTTGCATAAGAGATGTTCAGGTACAAGTGCATACTCTGAGACCTAAATACAAAATTCCAGTACCCTCCACATCAGACCTTAAGGGGCCGTGCTACTTAAGCAGTTGGGGCTGCACATAGCACAGGCCATGCCCCTCTGCACGGCATGCCCTAGCTCACACTTGGGAATGCATTGCATGGCCCAGCCCAGCCCTTGTGACAGACAAGAAGCAGAAAGCAGAGGAAGGAACGGGAGCCTGGATACCTTTGCTGCTACTGCAGTCTAAGCAATGGGGAAAGCAGTTGTTGAGTGGGAGCCTGGGGCGCCACAAGTTAAGCCCTCAGTCACCAGGCTGCCAGTTGTACAGCCCTGGATTAAAAGAATGGGTACAATGGCACCCTGTAAGGACTTTGAGGTGGTATAGAACTGATACAGTACTGTGGCTAGTGGGGAAGGGCTCAAGCCTATGTTGACTGCTTCAGGCTTCCTATGCTGCTGCACCTCCTCAGGTGATGGATGTTCTGTGACAAGAAGTAGTGCCAGCTTCTTGATCGACAGGAAAAGAAGAGAAAGGGGATCCTTTTGGTGCCCTACTCTTCTTTGCTTTTCCCATCTCTACTTGCCCACTCTCTGAAGGTAAGGTGCCTTGTTTTGGGGGGCCCCCTCCCTCTTCAGAGTAGAGAGGGAAGTTGGGCTGCCACATCATGCAGAGCAAGGGAGGAGAGTATGCAGTAGAGCAGTTCCTGTTCTTTCAGTGTCCCCAGACTTGGAAGCTCCATTTCTTCCTCCTCTTCCCCGTGTTAAAAAGTGGCCTCGCCCATCTCCTGCAACCACCTATCAAAGAAAACTGCTCCTGTACAACTGAGCTTCCCTGCTTCTGCCCCACACACAGGAACCTTGAAAACCTAGGCAGGGAACCTTGCAAATGAACAAGTCCCTGGAGTACACTAAGAAGTCTATTCCCCCAAAGATATAATAGATTAAACATTACTTAACTTGGATAGTAAGGAAACAAGGCAGTTTCATAAGAAAAGCTTATAATCTGTCAGTTGAGGCACAATGGCAAACCAGCTATGGTTTTGATATTTTGGTTGTTAGTCTATCATTGAATGAGTTTGCAGAAGGGGAGGAATAAAATGTGTGGACCTAAGCACAAATCCATACTTATTGCTGACTAGCTGATGAGAATGGAGTTGTGGTGGTTTCTGGCAATGGCTAGGAATGTCCTGGGACAGTTGCTACAAGAAAAAACATCTTGGAGGGAATTACTGTGGAAACAGGAGGGAACAGTGTTCATGTGAAGGTCATGAGATACACTGAATGAATTCTCTAATGCAACTTAATTGAGGATGGAAGATATTAGTTAGGAGTTTAACTATGAGGCTGTAACAACCTATGACAACATATTAGCACTTGTCTATACTGGCTGTAATTTACCTCTTGAAATTTCTCTGCTTCCCTGTCTCTAATTTCCTGGTCCACTGCTCTTCTTCTAGCCCGCTCTTCTTCAATTTTTCTCTGTATTTCTTCTTCAGATAGCTGTCCAATTTTTTCAAACTTGCTTTTTAAGTTCTTTGCCTGGATAGAGCCACTTCTCTTTAATTTTATTAGTTCTTCATATTCCCTGCTTAGCTCAAAGATTTCTGTTTCTTCCTCTTCCTGTTAAGAAATTATATCATGCTTAAGACCTTAAAAAAAACCCAATCAATTGAAAAACTACAAACAAAGCTGACCGTTAAACTTTTTTATTTCCTTTTTGAGGGGTACTTTATACTTAATGTAATGAATGAAACTTTCCTTAAAGCTAACAAAACCAGTCCATCAAAAGATAGAGTGAATTAAATTTGTCAGTACAGGGACCTTTTCTCAATTCTTTCATGTTCCTGCACACTAGGACTGGGACTGAAACCACAAGTATATTTCTTATGGTCCAGTGAACAGCCACTCAATGAGTAACAACTTCTAGTAGTTAGACCACACACAACTGGTAACTTAGCATTCAATCTCTTATCAAGAATAATGCTGATTAATGCAAGATGTCATTAAAAAAATACTTTCCTAAAGAAATCTGCTTTAAAAATGGGAATTATGCTTTCGATGCTTTGTTTTTTTTTCTATCCCTTTTCTAAAAAAGGGTTAAGTTCTTTAATATATAATAAAAAGAAAACTATGGAATCACTTACCCCTCCAGGTTTCCAGTGAAAATACACATATTGGCAGTAATTCCTTGAAACAATTTAGGACTGTACAACTAAATCACTTCCCTTATTTTACATTTTTTGTATCACTTATTTCTCATATTGACCTTGGAATATTTATCTTGGTGTTTCTCCAACATAAGATTCCACGCCAAAATTGAAATTTAAGTCTGGACTTATTACTCCCCTTGAGTCTTCTAAATATGAACTCAGTAGCCTTTGTATCTGCTCGCTTCTGAATATTATTGCCACCCCGAAGTGTGCAAAAACCATGTAAAAACTTTATTACAGTATCTGAGCCACAGGCAACATCACACAACATAAATGAGAAATGCAAAATAATGCAAATGCCTTCACACTCATGAAAGCACATTTTCCTTCTGGTTTCTTAGCATTTAGGTTTCAAACCATGAGCTTTCCTGTGCCATCATGTGAAGAAGAAACTTTACAAAGATATTGCGATGTTAATAAAAGAGTTGTAATCTAACAGCTAGGACTTTACAAAAATAAAATCAACACTGGAAAAGTAAAAAGTTGCTCTTGATTTACTCATAGCAAAGTTGTGATTTTCAAAAGTTCAGGTGTAATGTTACAAAACAGCTTCTTAGCAAAGGATGCTGTGAAGCTTGCAGAAGTTGCTGAGACTCTAGATAGGCCCCCACAAGTCTCAAGGTTCTGGACTTATCACCTGGGGATGGTGAAGCATATTGATAAATACATTTCAAAATGAGAGGGAGAAAATATAAAAAGTACTAGCTTTTTTTTCCAGTTTCCTCTTCCTATTTTAAAAGCAAGGCTATTTAAATTAAGTACCAATTACTCTAAATCCTAATACCGTTTTAATTTATAATTTTAAGTAGTATATTAACATAACCATTTAAGCCATTATCTGTTGCAGAGGGAACCCAACATGACTTTTATTTAGTTATTTTGCACAATACAAACCTCTCCCATTTCTCTTCTAAGCTGCTCAAATTCTTGCTTCTCCATTTCCAATTTTTGCTTGCGTTCTTCTTCTGTGCGTCTCTTTTCTTCTTCCATTTTTTGTCTCAGTAACTCCTCAAAATTAATTTCCAGTTTACCTGGTATAAGAGATTCTTGAGAAACTGTTTTAAACATCTCTGGGGATTCATCATCCAGTACCTGTTGGAAATAATTTTATCAGAACTTTGATACAGTTTAAAAGATATTTGCACTAAAATTAGAACTCTTTGGGGATGTTTGGATACACAATTTGAGAAGCTGTGAAATAAGATGTCACATCTTACTACTTTTTATAATAATATACATGAATATGAAAGGCACAAACCTCAGATTAATTTAATATTAGTGTGTAATTTTACCATTGTATTTTTTTTAAATCTAATGGTAAAAAAATCTTCAGAGTATTGAAGAAGCAGTACATGCAACTACAACCTAAGCTGTCAAGTAAACATTTTTAGTAACCCCTCTCTAGTGTTATGCGAGGGAAAGTTGCTGAAAGAGCCAAAAACAACTTGCTTATAAAAATTTGGAGAGGTTGCCTGACATTTAGTTCATTTTCCCCATCTTTAAGTAAAGTGGATAATTTATGCTCAACTACCTCACTCAGGCTTGTGAAGATGAATTTTCTAAGCATTTAACTTTTAAAAAGTGCTGCATAAACACTGTCATTGCTTTTTAATGTTAGTGTACAGACTCACTTAACTCTCATTTCTAAACAAAATGCATTTTATTACCATACTTTTCCACACATCTCACACCCTGGAATATAAAACACACCTTGTTTTTTAAAAGAAAAAAATCTTCCAGTTGTGAGTAGCAGCTGCTAGGGAGCTGAGTGCTTGTTGTCCTGCTCCCAAGGAGTTGTGTGCACAATTTATTTTCACTTTTGCCCATAACTGGCAGAAACGGTCCTTATCATATTTCTGATATATAATGCACACTCAAATTTCTAGCAGCTAAGTTTTAGGGGAAACGTGGATTGTGTGCATATGAAAATGCCCTTAACGCTGGTATGTTCCAGGCTCACCCCACTTCATATTTCTGTAATCTACAAATTCAGATCTCATCTCATTGGGAACAGGGATGATTAGAGAACAAGTGAAAACAGAGGTCATCCAAATAGATGAAAGCTGAGCAACTGTAACTCATCACTATTTACCATCCCTGCTGAGTCCCAACATGGTTGTACAGCCATCTGCCTTTGAGGTTCAAAACCTCTGCTCGCCTAAAAGTGTTCAAATTCACAGTAAGCTGGGAAACCCACCCCCACCACAAGTCTTTCACAAAAACTAAAGAAAGTTTAGAAGCGGAAACAATGCTTCTGTTTGAGAAAATAGCTTTTCAGATAAAACAATAGCATTTCTAAATTAATTTTCAGTTCACTTTTCTAGCTCTCTGAATATGGCATAATATCTAGTGCCTTTTAACTTCATCTGGAATCACTCTTCTGCATCTTCTCTTGCTGGTCTCCCTCTTCCCTATTTTTTTCCCCGCCCTTCTGAGTACTACTCTTTTTCCCTCCTATGTAGATCTTTGATATGGTCTTGTGAACCTCCCTCTGCTCTCGCTCCTAGGTCTTCAGGTTGCCATGTGGCCAGCCTATTTGCTAAGATGAACCAAGTCAGCAGGTGACAAAGACCCAGGCATAAAATCTCAGTCTCATTTCATTTAATGAAAACAAAATGTGACTGTCTCAGCTACTGGTTGCTTGGCCTTGAAAGAAAGCAAGCAAATAACCACATATTAGACAAGTTAAGAAATGTAAGAGCCTTTTTTTGACATTTTGTTAGACTTCCAGTATATCTGAAACAACAAACATATGACCTAAGTGAATAGAAAGGGCAAGGGTTTGACAGCAATCAGTAGATTTTGAAAGTATAGAAATAAAGTGAGAAGGGTATTGGCTGGAGCTCCAAATGCGCAATCTGTTTCTACAACTTCAAAAAGAAGTCAAACTAATGGGCAATAGAACAGTAGTATCTCCGTTACAGACCCAACAAAATCAGCAGAATTGCACTAGATCTGTGTTTAGCCCAATGTGTCCAATTCATCAAATGTTCTGTTTCACATTTTGATAGGTCGGGCAAAATACTCTGTTCTTATTCTTAACCTGGGAAATAAAAAAAAATGTTCTATAAATCGCCATACTCTCCAGTACTTGTGGAGTCTAAATGAACCAATGAGGTAACATCTGAGGAAGAAGAGATTTTTGGATCACTTTGCACAAAGCATCTTTCTCTTTGGCTATTAAATAGAAATAAAAGGGTGAGGCAGGAGCCTGAAGGTGACTAACAATGCTGGAGAAAGCTGGTGCGGTCTGAGAGCGCAAGATCCTTTGGAACAAAGGTGGAGAGGTCTTACTCTAGCTGCAACTCTTAAAAAGCAAATCGAGATGCAAGTGGACATAAAGGGTGCTTACAGATACAGGGAAAAAATGGTGCTTACAGATGTAGAATAAAAACGGCAAAGCACAGCACGTGCTCAGAAGAGGCACTGCATTAGTTGGACCTGGCTCATATATATCGGGCACTCCAGTGGGGCTTTCTGGTGCTTTTATCGAATAGCTAATTGAGTCAGCTTTAGATGAAAGCACCAAAAAGCCCTGCTGAGGCATCCAATCTGATGCTGTATAGCTGGATCAAACTAACACATTTGCCTCTTCCAGTAAAGCACTGTTTTGTTTTGTTTTGTTTTTCATATCTGTCGGCACCCAAAATGCTACTTAGATCATTTTTTAAACTTTAAAAAAGTCTTAATCTGGTGGAAGGGAAAAAGGTGAGCTGGAGGGAGACAGGTGGACCTGACCTATGTTTAAATTTCAGGTTCTGTGATTCTTTTAAAATGAGTCTATAACTATGAAAGTACTTATTCTATAGGAAGGTGCATTTACTTTTTAATGCACCTTCCCCTTAGCTTTCAAACAAAAAGAGAGGAGGTGAAAGCCCCACCCAGGGAGTTGAATAATTTGAATACAATTGCATTTTTAACTGTGATCCTTTCAGCCACTTTGGTGTCTAATTGGTGGACCAATATATGGTCCCTAATATGTAAGGCAGTTTTGGGAATAGTTTGAGTGTAAGCTTTGGCTAACTGTAATCTTCAGGGCTTTCTTTCTCTTATCCAACTTGAAGTATTCACATTGCTGCTATAACTGACTGTCCCACAGGAAAGCAGCTTCACTGATCTGTTGCTCTTGCTAGAACTAGTGCTTTCAACATAAAAGCAGGTTCTATTTTTATTCTGCTGTAGCTTTTATCAACACAAAAAGGATAACACTTCCAAGGAAATAATGGCTGCAACTATCCTTTTAATCGCCCGCTGTGTGTTCACAAAAAGTAATCCAGCTATGCCACAGCAGTACTCAGTGTTCATCTTATTTTATCTTTTCACTTCACGTCTCACTTTTGCCCTTTCAAGGCTGAGTATGCCTTGCAGGCCATCTACACGTCTGTTGCTCAAAATGCTTTTTTTTTAAATTCTCTGGCTAGTCTATGGGTAGGCTAAACCCCTGGTCTATGTTCTAGTTTTTATTCCTGTTTAAATTGAGGAAAATATTGGCTGTAGTGGTCTTAAAACAGGTTTCATACAAGAGCTATGATAGGGATAATTTAATTCTTTGAATTCTGGAGGTAACAATTTCAATATGCAAATAGCACAAGTGTTTCTTGTTAAGACTACAGTTGAGAACATAGGAATTGCCACGTTCAACTAGACCAGTATTATATTTAGTTCAGTAGCAGCTGCTTTTCAGAAGGGGTAAGACACATACCATACAAAACAACTGAAGAATAATCTGCTGACGTGGAAAGTTTTTCTTAATCTCCAGTAGTGAGAGTGGCTTTGGCCCAAAAGCATGGAGGGGTTATATCCCTTCTGAAACACTAAGTTGCACATACTTTTAATTTGTACAAATAGTCAGTGTTTTCCTTTTTAAAAAAGAATAGATAATTCTGCAGTGACAACATCAGAATGGAGCTCTCTGCCACACCCTCCACAGCGGGATGGCTTTACAGACTTTTGGTGAAATTGGAATAAAATTTAAAATATTTTATGTGGGTCATCTCTAAGGAACATGAGTTTGATTTAATTTGTTTTCTGTTTGATGCTTGGCTAATGCATCATCACAGTAAAGACCATGCTCTTTCTGCCTTTAGTTGTCCTAACTGATTTGCCTAAAATATACGTCAGTAAAACTTGGTCTTGCTGTTGAAACTTAGGGCACCTATACACGGGGATTGAGGCTGCTCCGACATGCTGTAACTACAGTGTCAGATCGGACTTGATTAATCCGACACACTGTAATTACCATGCTCCAGCAGACTCCAGCATCACGTGTATCAGCATTCCCACGCTGAAAAATGGTGGCGGGGGTACTTTAAAGTTCATTCGACAAGCTTTAATTAAAGCACCTCTGCCACCATTTTTCAGCTCCGGGCCACTGATACACATGACGCTCTGGGTGTTTTAGTGGCTCTGCACTCAGATCCACTCTAATTAAAGTGGCACCCCCTTCCTCCTGCTCCCAGAGCATGTATATAAGGCCCTTAGTGTGGCCTTAGAAAGGAGTATACATTGGAAAAATAGGAGCACCCACAAAAAGATACCTTCTCTTCTATGGGATCTCTATAATGTTTAATTGTGATGATTCCTGTTTTTCACATTCTGATATTATGGTGTAATATTACTTGTTGCAAACACTAACTTCAATGTTATTTTAAATTATGAGGATTTATTTTCTAGGTTGGCTATAAGTTTTTTTTTGGGGGGGGGGGGGGGGGGAGGTTGTCTCTCTCTCAACTTGTTTAGCTATCAAGATGGCTCACTGCCTGATATTAATTGAATTTATGAAGCAAGTGAAAAATACACTCCTGAAGAGCTGTTATGATGTTATGCCATTTCCAGAGGTGTACCCTACTGGCAGAATTCAGAGATTAAAAAACTCCTTATCCTACCATAGTCCTCCTGGCTTCAGCAAATGCCCTTTTCTCTTCTTCTATGCGTCGTCTTGCTTCTTCTTCTGCTTTCCTTTTTTCCTCTTCTCTCCTCTGTCTTTCTAACTCCTCAAAACTGAGTTTGAGTTTACCAGGACGGAACTCTTTGATAGAACTTTCAGCTGCTTTATCATATCCTTCATCATTTGCCTTAAGGAAGAAAGAATTTAGAAATTCTTTCCTATCAGAATTTTGTATAATAAAATAATAATATTCTAAAAAACATTCTTGATTGGAATTTTCTATGGTAATTTTTTCTTACGGATAAAAAATTCTTAAGAATAAAACGTCTTGGGTTTCAGCCACAGGGAAGAGAGAAAAGCTCACTCTAGGACATGTGTAAACCTCAAGTCCATCTCAAACCCTATACTCCTTTCCCTTACCCTGCTCACCTGAATGCTGTGGAGTTTAAGGTGCTCAGTTAAATTGTGGATATATTATTTTATCTGATGGTAGTTTAATAATGTACGTTTATGCTGCAGATACAGTATTGCACTAGCAGAATGTGGACTTGATTTATGTTTTAAGGGTAGGATAATTGTGACATGTCAATTTGGGAGAACTGTGACAATTCCATTTAGGGAACAGTCCTAATACTTTGAGTAGTAAAACATATATGGCTGTATTGATATTATGTTGTTAGGCATTTTGTAGTTGTGTAACGTTAATGAGCCTTTTGCTTGTATGTAAACAGTTAGGATGGCAGTCTCTATTTGCACATAAATTACTTTCCTTCAGATGCAGATTAGTTAGAAAAAATTACAATGGTTTATTTTCCTAATACAACATTAATAGAATTTACTCTTAGTGCAAATTGAAGTTGGCATTTCTGTTCTTTGAAGAAATGAAACATCAGTGAAGAGTGGAAATAAGCAGCTTCAACTTTTTTAGTGTTTCCCTTCTCCAGTATTATCAGCAATAGAAGTTTGGGAATTTGCAGATTGCAAATAAGAATGAAAGCAAGTACTATCCTTGGACTATTCCTTCAAAGATTATATGTCTATGGAGAAAATGAATGCATGAACTATGGAGCAGAACTCCAGATGGCTATACCATCTAACCATCAGGGCAATGGGCTGCTTGTCAGACAACTGTGAAAGACTTCAAGATTTTGATTGGAATTACCACAGTGGGTTTGTAATAATAATACTGGAAAGCTGTGTCCTTTAACATCAAACTAATGACCCCAATATCAAGCACTTGAAAACCAAAGATGGACCAATCTACAGATTTTGGCTCCTTGATCAGATCTGGATTTTAATCCTATACATATTTGAAGGCTTTCTGCTTTTGATCACCAGCAACTGGATTCTACTGTAAATTTTCAGGGTTTCAATGTATTAGGGTGTAAGTGTGCATAATTCTATATCTTTTAAAAATAGCACTATAAAGCAATGTCACCTCAAGCATCACATTCTGTCTGGGACTAACGTAGCAGAATCAAACTGGTTTTGATCAGTTTGACTCAGCTAAGCCATCTACACTGTCAAATTGTTGGGCTTTCACACATGCAGGACAGAAGTGAGTGGGCAGAGATTGTTTGTCAGCAGCAGTCCCAGGCTCACAAAGGAGGCATTGGAGCTCTGGCCTTAAAGTACCACTGACAATAACAGTCAAAACTTGGGTAACCGTGACTTACTGTTACATAATGTTTAGTTTTAAAAAGTACTGATACCCATAGGTAGGGATTTACCAAACTTGAGGCGGCGGCTGGCCAATTTCTCAGGCAGATCATGTAGCCGGCTGCCATTTTTGTAGAGTTGAGTGTGGCAGGGCCCCATCACACCTCTGATTGGCTGAGCGGTCCCTTACCACAGATTGCCAGATGGCCTAAAATGGAAGTTTAATTACCCTGATTAAACCCAGAGAAGCCATTCATCCATGTTTAATAATGTGTGGATTAATGGCTTTCCCTAGCTTAATCAGGGTAATTAAGCTGTGGTTTCAGACCATCCGCAAGTGGGAAGGCTGCAAGCAGCTGCCCAAGGGTTCCAGGCTGACGGGCAGGTAGCTGGGAGGCTGTAAGCAGCTGTACCAGGCTCTAAGGAGTCTCAGCCCAGCTCTTTCCTGGGGGTGGGTGCATGTGTGCAATGAGGTGGGCCAGAGCTTCACAGATCCTAGTGCACCTGCTTGCAGTTTCCCTGCCCATACTGTAAGCAGCCCCTCTCCTCCTCTCCTTGTCCATGCTCCAAGACTGCAGGGCTTTCCACCCTGTTCTCTGCTTGCTGGTAAGTTTGGTTCTTGGGTTTTTGTTTTTTGCAGCGAGCCCACCATTTTTTGCAGAGCCTGCCCAATGTAACATTTTCCACAAAAATTAAAAAGTATGTATTTTAAATATATATAAAGGAAAGAGCTAAGTTTTTCACATTCCCTAAGTGTAGACTTTAAGAATGCCAAAAATTATGGGAGTTAGCAATATTGAAACACGCAATACCAATTTCAGTAGGTCCCTACCCATAAATATGATCAATTTATCACGAGTAGTTTAATTTCAATGACTACTGAATTCCCTAAGAATAAAAACTAGATTCAGTTTAGGAATAAATCAAAATCTGTTCATACTCTTATACAACTGTTGTTTTGATTCTAAAGATACTAAAAGGTAGTTTTACAAGGTACTGCAGTATGATATAGTACAGATACTTTTTGTAAAAATGGCTTTGACTGTTGGCACACTTTTAAGAACAGGATGTTTCATACATATCAGAAGATTGTTTAAAAGAATATGAATCAATACATAGAATAAAGTCAGAAAGTATATTTTTAAACTGATGGTGACATCAACGCTAATCTGTGAATAGTTAACACCTCATGGTAAGTCTAACAGTTTGAAATAAAATCCAGGTATAAAAAGGCAAAAGAATTCAGATGCATGAAAGGGCGTACTTGTATCCAGCATAAGCAAGAAACTTCCAGAACTGTGAATAAAGCATTAATTTACCATCTGTTGTCTAGCTTCTTCAAAGGTGCGTCTTTCCTCTTCTAAACGTTGTCTTGCTTCTTCCTCTGCTTGCCGTCTTTGATTTTCTTGTCTTTGTCTTTCCAGTTCTTCAAATGTTACTTTCAGTTTCCCAGGAGACAGGGGTTCACGTCTTTCAGTGTCTTCATTTTCATCCTATATAACAAACAAAGCCATTAATTAAATGAAGTTTTAAACATTAAACTCCTGTTTCCTAAGAATTATTTACAATGATTTATTTACCATGACAAATGAAAGACACTTGGCTTCTTTTAGAGATTGTTTCTGTTCCTCATATCTTAATTTTTCCTCTTCATGCTTTCTTTCTTCTTCTCTTTCTTTTCCTACATCATCAGCACTTATTTTCATCTTTCCAGGTGTTTTGTTAGGTTTTACAGGTACTACTGTCACCAGCAATGAATCGTCTCCTTCCTGTTGTTAAAAATAAACTTTTTTCCGTAAATATTGATTTTGAAGTTGTCTGTTTGCATGTGGAACTGCCATCATTACCTGTATTTGCCAAAGTTTCCAAAAGTACAGTGAGAGTGTACTATGAGCAGAACTAGTACTCAACACAAATCCCATCTTCCAGTGCTACTGACAGCTGTTAATTTTCTTCTGACAACAGAAGGCCCTGAAAACAATTCTGTTTTAAATTGTAAATGTAGTTGGCAAATGTTCAGAGAACTTGGAGTATCTTCATTGACAGGTGAACTTATCTACAACTATTTGTAGCTGTTCAAACAAGAGTTGCTGAAATTTTGAAGATGTAGCAAATGCAAGTCCATCCCAGTTGTAAAGTGTTATGTCTGACATATACTCTGCATAGAAACAAGCCTGTGAGGAATGTTGCTTCCAATATCTTTCTATTCAGAGAGAAATATGTGGCTAAAAATAGCCTGTGAAGTAACAACCAGTCTGCAATTTTATTTAGGCAAAACACCCATTAAAATCTATGGGAATTTTATCTCAACTAAGAAGTCTAAGATTTCTGAATGTATTTGCATGTCCGGTCACAATGATAACTAGGTTCAAGCCATTAGTAATTTTTTCAAGTAATAGAAGTTGTGCAGTATTCAAGTGTCTGATTATAGCAATGCTGACATCTCATTTCAAGAACATATGGAGGTGTCTTGCAAAGGGAATTAATATGTTAAAGTATCCTACAATATGATTTTATGAAAATAAACCAAATACCATTAGAGATACTGCCAAATAATTTCTCTTTATTTATAAACTTCAGAAGTGCCTTTAGACACTTCGGTAAAAAATAGTAGGGTTTTGTCTAACTTTTTTTTAATAAACATCCCCTTGTTATGCTGAAAATACAAACACAAAGTATTTTGTTAGCACATAAATAATACTCTGCTAACAAAATAGGCAGGTTTGTTTAGTCAGTGTACACTATCCAAGCTTAAATTGCAATAAGTAAACCAAAACATATAATTGTTAAACTTTCATTGCCATTTAACATGTTTACATTAACAGTATACCTTTTTAATTTCAAACTTATCAAAGGCAAAGAGCTTTAAAGGTGAGCTTTAAAGGCTTTTTTTCAAAGCCACCAGTAATTTAGATGCCCATTTCTCCTATGGGTATCCAAAACATTTTGGTAGCTTTAAAAGTCTGTGTTAGCTATTCTTAATACTGTTTTTTCTTGTAGATTTTCACAGACAAATAAGTTTTAAACTAGTTTTAAAACTAGAATAAGTTAGCCTCAGCTATAGCTCCATAGCTCCTTCTATGCAGGTCAAAAAATATTTCTTCAGGTACCTGGTCTTGTTACAAAATTTTAATGAAAAGTTAAGTGCATCCTTTTTGTTACCCTATTACAGCAATAAAAACAAAGTGATAAGAAGTAAAAAGGTAGGTGAATGTGTCTTTGAAAAAAATATCTGATTACCTCCGATGCTGATTCAGTTCCCGTATTGTTTAAGTCCTCAATCTATTAAATGAGAATTTCATATAATTACATTACTTTCGCTCTTTGCCTTGAGTTTTCAAACATAAAAATGAAAATATTTGCATCAATCATGATATGTATGTTGCATTTAAGTTTACAAATCTTTAGGATGAACTGGAGAGACTTTATTTTGAATGCTTTTCGCTACCTGTCTGATTTCAACCTGACATCAAATGTTAATGCACAGATTGTACACCATGTTCTAACCCATGGGGTGCATCTACATGTAACGTTACATTGCTGTCGCAACACACTACGGTGACACCACAAACCATGACATCACAGCTATGTCACCGTAGCAATGTGCTCCCTCAGTATAGTGCATTGCTATGGTGACATAGGAGCTAAAACCATGCACCATTGGCATGGCACGGTAAAAGCTGTTATCGCGCCATCATTTAGTGCGCCTCTTGGAAGTACTAAATGATGGTGCTGTAACAGTGCCATAGGGCGTGCAGACACGCCCACAGTGTTGGTCCTGGGACAGTTTTGATACATTTCCTAGTATAGTAAACTGAATTTAAAGTCCAAATCTAGCATATCAATGTGATGCAGTATTTGAAATGTAGTGCATTAATACAGATTTCTTACATATGTGTTCCATAACTATGCAAAAAACTATTGAAGCAAGCTATTGCCTATCAGAGTAATTTGATCCTTCCCTGCCAGTCCTCTTTACAAGAAAGACCATCTTCCCTACATTCATTTTATAGTCTTGACATGAGTTTTTTACTTTTTTTAAAATTAGTATAGCTGTTTTTCTGAGTACAGATATACATAGTTCTATTTTGCAAAGTAAATAAACTTGAGAAAAGATAGTGAAAGAGTATTAACATTCAGCAGAATTTACACAAGTTAACAATGTTATTTCAACAGAAGATAGTAGATAAGCTATTGTTAGATATTCACCCAATAAAAATACTCTTCTCACTTTTAAGGAAAAACAGATCTCTGGTTAATTAAATACTTGTTTATGGTCCTAGACTATGCACTGAGACTGTTAGGACCAGATTCAGAAAAGGACTCAGATGCCTAAAGCCTGCCCAAATCCAAGCCTGCAATCCAAAAACATCTACTTAATTGCTGCCTAAACCTAACCCTTGCTAAGTGTCTGTCTCCCTGTTAGTTTTGAAATTTTCTAGTTGCCTCCAGTTCTACTTCTCTGCATGCCCAAAACTGTCCTGGTTCAAACAGCAAGGTGCCCAACTCTCGCCTAAATTCCACTGGGAACCAGAAACCAACGCTCTGAGGAGCCTGGTGTGAGTACAGCTACCAAAGGGCTGGCAGGATCTAGTTCTCAAAACCAATCCTGCTGAAGTTGGGCCACTGAGCAGAAAAGAATGCAAGCCAGAGGTAGGGCCAGGCTGTAATCTAGTGTTCAGGCTTTTGTTGATAAGTGGGGAGTTAGGGGTTCTAGTCTAACCTCCCAGATTTGCTTGGGTATTTTATATTAAACAGCTGCTGGATTAGAAACAAAAGTAATTCAGAGAAGAGAGGCCAAAACACAGCACAGGACAGTCCTGGGTTCTAGTCCAACTCCCCTGGATTATTTGTGTGCTTTCTCACCTCTCCCCAGCCCTGACATCCCAATACTGTTAAAACAAAACACATAAACAGTCTTGAGACACCAAACCTACAACTCCTCATTACCAGGTAAATGTCTAACCACTAGGCTACAGCAGATAACCCTTTTGTGTGCTACTTTTTTTGGCCCAAAGAATCTTGCACTTCTGCTTGCTGCCCTGATGGAGGTACCTCTTCTCCCACTTTGGAGAGGAGCAGGGGTTCAGAATCATCCCACTGCCTACTGACTCCTATTGGCTAGCTGCTCAGCCTGAAGGCTTTTCAGACTGCTCTTCTGAGATGACTAACTGCCCATGCGCTGTCAAAGCAGTCTCTGTGCCCAACTCTGCATTCTGGACTCCATTCTAGGAGCTTGGAACCTACGAGTCAGACATCACATTGCTTAACTTTTTAAGTGCCTAAGCTCCTTGCTGGATATGACCCTTGCTCACAACAGGGAGAGTGGAGGAGGAGAGGACAGACCCCATTTTTGAGTTCTAAAAAAGACAAAATTAGGCTTGAAGGCATCAGTTAGAGTTGGAAGATAGCCATTTCAATATTTAACAGTATTGATATGCACAATGACAGAATAAAACATGATTGAACCATCACCCTTGTAAGTTTAGTCATATTTATTGTACAATCAATCTACAACTATACTTTAGGTCATACTCAGTAATACACTTATAAGCAGAAAGTAGCATCTTGTGTCTGGAACAAGGGCTTACCCTTGTTAATAAAAGGAATTATTTAAAACTGACTGACTTGACTTTATAAACTTAACTGTAAATCCAATCCCAGGTCTATACCAAGCCTGTACCTGTCTAGGTCACCCTTATCCCGATTTTTAATCGGTACCAGGCTTTAGCCATAACTCAAATTCAATATTTAACAAAATGTGTATCCTACAACTACTCCCATAAACTCCTTCCCCTGAAAAAAAACTCATCTCCACATCCATTTTCTTCTTCATAGACCACAGTCTATTTACCTGCTGTCAGAAACCTAAATTAAATCCTCATGTTGACCTGTGGATCGGTGAAAAATAGGTTTGTGGGGTTTTTTTCCTACTTGCTATACACTATTTTTATTTTGATCAAGATAAACATACCTCCTGGGCTTTTTTTGCCAGTTCTCTCTGAATTTTCCTTTTCTCAATCATATCTTGTTCAATTCTACGCTTTCTTTCTTCTTCCATTCTTTTTCTTTCTTCTTCTTGTCTTTGTTTCTCCATTTCTTCATACTTGCCTTTAACAGTTCCTATATATATATATAAATGACAGAATGTAATTGTTTTATCTAATATTTAAGTGTCAAATTACATAATCTTTTAAACCAAGTTGCTTACCAATAAGCTTTGGAACATAAGCTTTCTCTGTTTTAGACTTTTCTTCTTCATCATCAGAAGCAAGCAGTTCTTTCATCTAGTTAATTAAACAGAGAAAATAAACTATCTTTAAACATTAGAATACAAGATGCTATTGTTACATAAGATGATACAAAAAAATCTGAGTCTACTTATTTTCATTACCTTAAAAAATTTTAAAAACTAATTTAAAATTCTTACATAAAATAATGCACGAGAATAAAATAATTAAAGCAAAAATATTTGCAAATAAAATGACCTCCTGCTTTCTCCTGTTCCATTCTCTCTCTCTAACATATTGTTCTTTTCTTCTTTGCTTTTCATCTCTAGATCTCCTTTGATTTCTTTCTTCCCTTGCTTTCTGCATAGCTTCAAATTTATCCTTTACATCACCCTTGCGAAGTTTAGGCACATAGGATTTTTGGACAGGTTTAGATGAAGAAAGCAGAATCTTGGTGAAAATAAAGGAGAGATGAAGATAAGAAAAAGAAAGTTGAAACAGATGGAGAGAAATTAAGTGATATAGACTGAATTAGAAAGAATGTAAGACTCATTAAAACAGAAAATACGTATGAGATAATGATATTGTGCCACTATTGTCTACTGTTTGACTTTATCATATTTGTTTATAATCAAGTAGCAATAAACACTAAGAAATAACCTAGGTTTTTGTTAGATTCAACTACAGGAATCCCATTTAATGGGTGAATATGTAGTTAAAACCTTGAAGTTTGAAAACGTGTCCTTTTAGCGTCCATATGTTTATAAAGTACATTTCCATATCACTGCTTTAGAATTATATACACCCACAGTACAAACAGAAATATATACTTGACTCTATTCTTAGAAGCAAGACTAGAATTTAGATTTTAAAAATATGCAGACATTAGCATCACATTTTCTAATGTGCATTTTTGTGTTTTTTGTAACCTACTTTGTTCAACCTTGTAACGAGTCATCATTTCAAAGTAAAACAGGATTTTCTTATTTCCTTTAAAAATGTAAGCATGTGATAGTAATAGGCAACCATTGATCCTCTGGATCTTGGTGAATGCTGAAGAGGTCTAGTCAGGTGCTTGATGAATCCACTTGTACAGAGCCCATCACACCAAGACCTTCAACGTGTACGTGCTGGTAGGAGTTTGGAGGAGTGGAGGCTGCCCAAGACCTACCATGCCCCCTTTAGACCATTGAGACAGAATCCAAAGGCCAGACTGAGTCCAGGTGTTCAGTGTCTCAATGGCTGTAGCTTCTGTCAGAGAGCAACAGATAAGACCTGTTGCTGACTGCCTAACACCTCAGCAAGGGTGCACTTCTGTCAAGGTGATGTTCCTTAGCCTTTCTCCAACCAAGGAGTACCAACAAGGCAGTGGGGACTGGGGTTTTGAAATACCCTATGCTTGCTTCATTCTGGAGGTTGCAACGTGGTATTTTACAGGAGCTACCCCACCACTAGTAGTCCTGCCATGTTGCCACCAGGTCCTCTAGTCAGCTGCAGTTTACGGTCATACCCAGAATCAAGTACATGATATCTTTAATAGTAAATTAATATATTTATATTTAACTGATATAAAATATAAAAATATTTATATTTTAATAGGTGTGTACATTAAAGCTGAGATGCTAAGCTCACTTGTCTAGTGGGGACCTGTTGTAGATATGGCTATTTCTATGCACTCCTAACTTTTCTGTTAGGTTCCAGTTAGCACACTGTACACGCCTCCTATAGATCTTCAAGGGCTCTGTCGCTTTACATTTTGGTAACACATAATTTGTCAATAAAGAATTATGAGTCAGTGGAAAACCTGAATGAAAGTGCTGTTCTGTATTTGATGTATTGTTCTGTATTTCATTTCAGTACTACATGATATCAGTGTCAGTTATACTTGCTTTCATTCCTGTCACTGAGTTAGCATCTAAAACATTTTCTAGCAAAATTAAAATATTGTAGTCTTCATCATCTTTATCCTCAGCACTGTACTATCTTCCTTATGTTGTATCCTCACTTTGGACATCCACTTCCAGGTTTATAGAAAATTCAGTGTCTTGGTTTTTTATAATGGCAAGAAGCCCAACACATTCCAGCAAATCAGATAACCTGCCTTATTTCAATCAAGTTGTTCTTTTCAAGTGCTTCTCTAGCATCTTAAAATAACTGGGTACATTGCCTTTCCTTCTAGGGAGCTTTTCCTCTACTAGCCATTTGTAGCTTGAGGCTTAAAACACCAATATTTGTCTTTTTGTCCGTATCATCTGTAAATTACTACATGAATTAGAACATTTAAAATTTGATACATACCTCAGCCTTTTGTGCAATGTCATTCATAGTTGCTCGTCTGTGATCTGACAAGATATTTTTCAATTTTTACCTAGAAGAGATTGCATACCTGCTTAGAAAGATTGATGCTTTAGCTGGAACTTCTATCATCTTTTCTAAAAAGAAAGCTCATGTGTACTTAAAATGCTGTACCACAACTTAATCTGACCAGCATACAACGGTATTTAAATTCACTGTGATTCAGTACTTGTGATATCTCTTGTAGGAAGCTCAATATTTGTGATACTAAAATTCAGTTACATGATATTGTGATATGTAGTTCAATATTTGAACACCTCCATAAATATTTCAATATGTATGAGGTATCAATATTGATCTAAAAGTGACAGTTTCTTCTAGTACTTTTGAAGCGGTATTTGTGCATATTGCTATTACTAATGGGGGGAAGAAGTTTAAGTGGAACTTGAAGGACACAGGTATAACTTCCTTCTGCACCATAAATTTTCTATGTAATCTTGGGCAAATCACTAATCTTTTTGTGTCTGTTTCCCATCTGTAGCAACACTTTTCCTGTCTCATAGAGATCTTGTGATGAGACGACAAGAAGGGGGTTATATACTTCATTTACTCAAATCCAAGATGAAGTTTTTTCCTTCATTCAACATGGAGGAAAAAAGCCCCTCATTTTGGATTTAAGTACAAAGTTCTGGGTCAGGGGCCAGTCAGAGCCACAGCAGCCCCTGCCCCCCCACCTCAATCTGCCTCCGTGCCACTTCTGCCTCCCCCCCACTCCACCTGCCTCTCACAGTCTCTGTTCCCCCTGCTGTTCACTATCAGTCACATGTTTGGCCCCATTCTGGCACAGAGCACATGGAAAGTCTGGCCCTGGCCTGGCTACATGGCAGCGGTGGCAGTAGCTTCAGTAAGGCTGGAGCTCTTGTTACTGTAACTACCTGCCCAGCCATGTTGAGGCCAGAGCTGCTATGTGCTCCATTCCCTAAGCCAGAACGGGGCCAGAGCCACACCTGACGGTAAGTGGGGGAGAGGGGGCAGCCCCTTGTCCTCTTCTGCAGCCTGCCCCCTACTACTGTAGCAGTGGAGACGGGCAATTTTAAAATTTCACTGGGATAGACTCTATACATGGAAAATTGTTACAAATTTTCCATGCATAGAATCTAATTATTGGGGATCATCTTAAATTCAAAGCAGTCTTGGATTTGAGTAAGTATGGTAAGTTTGTTAGATTAATGTGGTCTGAGAACCAGAAATACTGTTTTCTTGATCATTTGTTCAATATTTAAAATACACTAAATGTGTTGGGAGCCTGATCCATTGATGTCAATCAGAAGCCGTTTCTTTGTTTTAGTGGGTTTTGGATATGGGCCTAATACCGTGTTGCCAAAGCTTGTGGGATAAAATTCTAAAATAGTTCTCCTCACATGCATGAGTTTGTAATTAAGAGAAATGGGGGATATTTTTCCTCTAGCAACTTTTAGCTGGGTGGAAGCAATGCCTTCTCTTCCAACTGAAGGGACTATAAGAATATGAGCTTGCTTTGAGAGGCTCTGCTGAGCACAAGCTCTTTCCCACCCTCAAGCTCAAGGCTTGTTAGGCTGCAACCTTTTCCCGGTAAGGGCTGCTGTGTTCCTCCTCCTGGCAGCTGAGCATCACTTCTGCCTGGGCCCTACCCAAACTGACTTGAGTGTTGGTTGAGCAGGAGGGACCTGAAGCTTTAAGTGGCTTGGATAGTAGTTTCCTTCTTTCCTTTTAGGAGGACATGGACAGCTATGTGGGAGGCAGGGGCATCTTGGAGTGGAGGGTGGGGAAAAGGCAGGATTTGTGGAAAAGGAAAAACCGGGGTGACAGTGTGAGTGGTGAGGTGAGTTTTGGGCAGACAGAAGAGCAGTTAGAGGGACAGCAAGGGGTCACCAGAGCAGGAGAAACAGACTGTTGGGGGAGACATGCTAGAAGTCTGATGAGGAAGAGGAGAGGCTGGAGGGGATTGTAGAAGTGAGGTGTTGCATGGCCCCTGGAGTCTCACAGCACTGGACAAGAGTTAGTCAAGACAGGCATCTAAGGCAAGAGAAATCCAGGGTAACTTACTGCAAGGTTTATGTATTTTGTTGTCAGGAAGGCTTGGAAGAAAGGCAGTTAGTCTTGAATTTTCTGGAGTAGACTGAATGGGGGAGAGGAGCCTGCCGCCTCCCCAGGATTTGAGGTATTATTACCCTAGTGATCACAAGTACATGCAATGTCAGGGCAATGTTCTCTACTTATAAGCAAACTATGCACTTATTCAGTATGCGTAACTATATAGCATGTCTCTGACCCCAACTTTTTGCCAATTGTTTATGCTACACCAAACAATAGTTATTTCCATGTTAGTCAAAAATTCAATTGCATAAATGCATCAGCTTTTCAACTCCATGCTCTCTTTGTAAAGCAATTGTAAGCTAACTGCATAATTGATTACAATAACTAAGAACCAGTTTCAAGAGGTCTATGGAGCTAACTAGATTCCATGAATTTCAGGGTGTTGTTAGAGGCATAAGGCATTGTGAGAAACAAGGTCGCTAGCCTTAATGAGATGCAAAAATCTTATCCCAAGCTGCTCCTATGTAATAAGCATTGTTTACACTGAGTTTGTGTACAAGCATATGCTGGGGAAACGCTAAGCCTTTTTCTCAGTCCCAGATAATAATACAATATGTAGTTGTAGAGTACTTCTCATTTACGGTGCTGTGAAACCTGTTCAGTGAGGGAAATATATGTTCTATGGTAAACTGCAGTTTAAACGTTTCCTAGAAAATGCTGTATTTTGCTAGTGTCAGATCATTATCTCTTCTCTCTTTAATATTAGAACTCTTTGTTCCAATTAGTGAGTGTTTAGTCCAAGTCATCACATACAGAGTAACACAACCTGCACACCTCTCCAGCAGGAAGTTCCACAGGGGACCCTACTAGTCCATCAGCAAACAGAGAAACTGAACCCAAGGAATTGCAGGATGCCACCTAGGGCTTTAGTTCACAAGCCATGGAGTTGGTGAGAAGCAGGGTAGGTTTGTATCTCATTTGGTACACTGTCTCTGCTTTGTAAAGGAGGATTCGGTGGGGATGTGCAGATCATACTTTTGAAGTAAGGCAGGAGGGCATTTTTTCTTTTTTTGCACCCTATCTCTGCACAGGAGGATGAAGGGATCATCGAGGATTAAACCAGAAATGGACATAAAGACAATAAGAGATGGTGGTTAGTCAGTGAACTCAAAGATGTTTCATGGTTGGTAAAGGAAACCAGTGGAATTACAAAACTATATTCACAACCTACAATGAAATGGATTCGTTGATACTGTGAGCATTATGCCTAATTACATTTTTACCTGTTTTCAATTTGCCATGGTGTTAGTAAATGCATATGGAAAAGAAATCATACCTGAGGCAACTATAATTGTTGTCTCAACCCAGTGTCCTCACCTACTGCTTTCCTTGTAAGGTAAGATTGTAAAGCTTTTATCTGTGACTTAATACCTGCCTTCTTAAAGGACAGGTTCTGGGGTCCAGAATAATACAGCAGTGCTGTCGTCCACGGTCACATGTTGAGCAAGAGCAAATACTACTTATGCTAATTTCTTGTTTTTTAACAAAAATTAACTAATTGTTGAAGGACTTAATTTTAGAAATTAATATGCTGTTCTGATTTACAGTACAATCTCAATATTCTGCACTCACTGAAACTCTTTGGAAATTTATGCATTACCTCATGTGAACTGACAATAAATGATTTTTGTTCCTCATTGATGAATGTGCTTACCTCACTCATACTGAGAATATAATTATTTAGCACTTGTAACTTTATTATTTTAATAAAGTATTATATATAAGTCCCCAAAGTGAAAACAGCAGGGGAAGTGGTGAGATCTTTTGAAGAGCGCAATCTTAATCCATGGGATTTTTCTACCCCTTGAGGTCAGTATAACCCTTGATCAAGACACCTTTGGAGTTTGATGCCAGGTCAGTTTTTCATTCAATCTCTTTTTCAGTGACAAACTCTAATGCAAACAGCATGATTCTTTATGGAAGAGAGTCAGTGAGGCTAAGTCAGCTCAGGAAACGGAATAAAAAAGGATGATTTTACAAAAAGAAGAAGAAAAAAATCCTGTTTCTGTGGTTGGTGTATTGAAAATGCATTGAATATGCAGGAAAAAAAAATATTTCTATTTCCTTTCAGTTACTATCCTCTTATATTCTACCAGCAGTGGCACTAGCTATAATAGGGGGCTCACATAAGTGACATTTTTTGCATGATTGGGCCCCTGAAAGCACTCTACAGCCCTGACACATGCACAGCTGCAGAGTGCTTTTAAACTGGCTGATCACGTGAAAAATTAACTCTTGCTGAATCAGCTACTTGATTAAGGCACTATAAAGCTAAGCACTTTAGGAAATTTGCATTTCCTTGAGGGTTAATTTTTTGAGTGAAGGGCAGGGGTCTCAGAAGGAGAGAGAAGGAAAGGAAAGGAGCAGCACTCAGCTGCCAGCTGTTTTGCCCAGCCTGAGCTGGAGGTGGGGGGAGTGGAACAGAGCCCCTCACCAGTCTGGCTTCCCCCAATATCCCAGCCAAGGCAGCTGTGGGGGGGGGGACAAGTCAAGGGGGCTCTTTTCCACTTCCCTCTCCAGCTCAGGCTGGGCAAAACAGCCAAGAAGTGAGTGCTGCTTCCTTCCCTCCCTCCTCTATTGACATCTCTGGAGCTGGGGTGGGCAGGGCTGGGGAGAGGAGCAGTTCAGCACCCTTGAGTCCCTGCCTGCTGGCCAGGAGGAGTGGTGCAGACAGGCTTGATTTCCCTCCTCTTCCTCCCCCCCACACCTCAAATGTCTGCTGCAGGGGAGGGGGGCAGAGGGCTCTAATCCATGGCACTATATGAAGCCTCATGAGTTCAAACAGGCTCTACACGAACAATTATCTATCGGGGCTAGACTAAGAACACTACCATATTTACTCAAATATGAGATTTTACCACCCAATTACCATGGGCGAAAAAGCCTCTCATCTTACATTTGTATATGAAGTAGGGGGAGGGGGAGGAAGTGGGGGTA